CTCGTCTGGGCTATATACATTACACTATATACACGGTAGTTCCCCCAAGCCGAACACATATTCTACGACACGGTGCACGCATGTACACGAGGGGGGGGGTAGGTAGGAGGGTAAGGGTGTTTTCCGAAAAAACAAATGGGGCGTTTTTGAAAACGACCGCCGTGCATGTTGTTTGGGGAGAAAACGCAATTCGTTTTCGACTCCCTCGCAATAGCCTCTCCGCGTTAGGAAGGGCATTTGACATTTGCCATTTCCTACACACACACACACTGCACACCTATGGAACATATTATTGTATTATTTATTATATGTATACACACGTTATTCTGCGCATTCATCGTGCCTGCCCGAACCCGATGGTGGCAAACGAAATGAGTTTCACGTGCCGCCTCCGTGAAAGCGCACACAACAATAACATAATATTATAGTAAATCTAATATCATGTGGGGGGGGGGGAGGGGGCTGTTTTTCCACTGACGAGCCCTCGAGGTTAATGAGACGAAATCGACAAGGGTTCACTGAACTCAATACATGATCTGGAACGCGTATTGTCTTTAGTCGGCTGCCATTTTGTAAACAGTTATTGTTTTGTCCATGATATTTATTGTTTTCTCTACGATTTACCGAATATACGACGGAGTTATCATCGCATAAGCATCATGTTGAACAAAACGTGGGACCGTATCTTAAGAACCTCCAAACTCTTGAAATTGCAGTGAAAAATCTGTTTACTGACAGATTGAAAATCGCCATCGTTTTCTAGCTGTCGAGTTAAAAAAAACCCACCCGTCGATAACCAACATTTATTAACCCGTTAACACTAATTATGTCGAGTGACTTATGCCATGACCCACTTGTCGCATTCGACAAAAACAACAATGAGCACTGACTGCTTATTAAAGTGGAATTTAATCTTCCAGAAAGTAAGAGCGACATTTTGATGCTGTGTATAATACTATGTAAGTAGGCGGCCATTGATTATTATTATTGGTTCATAAAAATCATGTTGCTTGTATTATATCACATATTATTATTGTGACTCGGTCATTGGCCATTGGGGTTTATAGCCGAAAGCATTGTTCCTGAACTCACTGAAGAAATGACCGGTCAATATAAAATCTACTTAAACAGTACAATAGCTTTTGGGTCGAGACAATAAAAAACCGACCGCTTGTACGCTATGTACATAAATATTATATTATTATATGGTAACGAAATGATCTCAGCTCGAATTGGACCTAATTACGAATATGATATATTATAATAACGTATACGGCTTTGATTGATGAAAAATTGCAACGCCCAGTAGTGTCTTGTCCATACCATGTCTGTTAGTTGTTATTGTTACCGTCTTATAGTGTGTTTGCCAATAAAAACTTAATGGATTTTCAATTTATTAAGGTCAGAAAAATCAATTGACTAGATCACTGAACATGTACAGTATGTATATGCGTTGTCCGCATGATGCATGACTGTGCGCAGGCGAGTGCTCGTGTACTTTTTACATCCAAAAAAATCATCTCGAAAAATTTGCTAATGATATTATTTCCGTATGTTGTTTTCCTAATTAAATCTCGATTACTTTTGACGATAATATTTTAGCGAACGAGCGACTTGCTTGTGCAATAATCGTTCGACGTCGGGGAGGAAAAGTAAAATTCTATCGTACCATTTTTTTTTGCTACCAAATTAAGTGAAACGTATAGTGTTTTGCTGTATGATAATATCGCACACATAAACCGTTACAGCTATCTTTCAGTCAGATACCCAGTTGCCGTTTTACGACTCCGGTACCGAGACAATAGGATACAAAGGCACACACACGTCAAAACATCTTTTGAAAACTTTTTTCACTGTCAGCACACATCGAATCTCCTCGCGAACGTCTCGGGGGGCAAATAATATAGAACATATATATCCCTACGATGCGTATGTTTTGACACCTGCGTCTCGGTCTTGCCTGCTTGTCACGTGTACAGAAAACAATGTATACAGCATGATAATTTATATATGGGAAGATCTACCTCATGCCGTGTTTCGCACACCATTCGTTGACCGAGGATATAAGGGGGGGGGGACAATTAAAATTTCACGCGAAAAATACCGTTTGAGCGTGCCGACAGTCGTAAATCCAGGATTTTTTTTATTTTTAACGGGAACTGTGCAAAATGGAGGTGAAAGGGGAATACGCCACGGGTGCCGTTAAAAATTATTGTATGGCGAAAAAAAAACCAGTCAAATTATTCGCTAAATACCTTTAATACGGCGGGAAAACTGGTACCCACATTACCGCTGTCAAAGTTGTGTTGTAATATAAGTTCTGCAAAATACAATAAAAACAATACTCGTTATTATGCGTTAATTGTACCTACATCGTTAACCGTAAGCGTTGTGTCAACGGTCGTATATTGGTAAAGTAGTAAAACCCATTGTCTTTGCCTTGTTGTCGTTATCGTTACCTAAAGATAGTGTGCAATTCTCATCTTAGAATTTTTTTTTTGAAAGTGAAAACTATTTTTTATTGGGTTGTGTTCAACGTTCAGGTAATATTTTTTAAATTTATAATTATTTTACTTATGCCATTGCATTTGAATGCTATGTCCTATTGTGTGCGCTGATTGATAAAAGTCGAGAATAGTATTATTATGTGCTTGATCAACGTCTAAACCAAATATTTCGATCACTACGGTGTATGCATTATTCTGTTGCAACTGTTGGGTTCGAGGTCATTCAAACACAACTTGTGTATTCGACGAAAATATACGGTATAAGGTTTATACAATAATTATCACTGTACATGGCGGCTGCGTTTATTAAATTTTGAATATGCAGCTGTTACTGTACACATAAGCTTCTGCAATTATTTGCAGAATAAAATAATACAGGCAAATGTATATAATTGCATCGCTTTATAATAGCTGCTGTTGTGAATTACGTCACACCGAGTCACTCACTTACATCTTAATGGGTTTAAGTGGTAACGACCCGTTTGATTTACGAGTGGAAACTGCGCGACCGTTGTGTGTCTAAGAAGTTGATTGGGTTTTACAATGAGCAACAACTGTACAGACTGTGCTATAAATCTTCTCTGGCAATACGATACTTATTAAACGATTGTCTATCGCCGTGACTCTGCTGGTCTTTTACAGTTTTAGTAACATTATTTTACATAATACGTATGCGTATCTCAAAATGCAAAACATATACCTAATAAAGTTACACATAATATCTTGATGTGCACAGCAAATATGCGTAGGTCATTAAATGATCGCATCGCGTTTTTATGTCCATCGAACGTGGCGGAAAATGTGTTCTAAACGTACTTAAACAAATATTTATGTATTTTTAAACCGTCGTTATGTTTTTTAACGCTTCACATTATGATACTGTGCAAAATAGCATTATGCGTTCGTTATACAATTATATTAACATCTTTGTATAGTATTGCGCGCCATAACGATAGCGAACACATTTGTGTGTTTTTTATGTTACACTGATTAGGCCACAGTCAGATTGAATGTGCAATTATCACTTTTTACTGCATATTTTTTAATTAAACTGTTTAAAATTAAATTTTTATATAGTATTGATTGTATTATCGTGCAAAGTATCTTCGTTAACATTATTTATACCAGAAGTAGACTAATTAAAATAATTAATATAATATTTCTTGTTTAAAATTAGCCATTATACATACATAACAACGCTTGTTTTGCTGTAAACTAAAAACTAGTACTTTAAGTATTTTACATACTTAAATCAAATCGGCCATGTTTTATGTATTACATATAATCTACTCGACTTAGACATTTCTTGCTGTTATCCTTTTACAATAGTCGTTAGTTTACAACTATCGTCATGTTTTGCTTAGTATATATATTGATTTTTTCCTCACTAGATAGTGGAAACTATTAGCTCTTGAACCATTCGATCGCATGGGTCTCATCCTGGAGTTTCTACCTTTACATTAGGAATCGCCCACCGTGTTGGGTATGTCCATCACATAAGACCGGTAGCGGGCAGTACATTAATTGTGTACCTTTGTATGAACCTTCTACCAATGGCAGGTAAATTGTAGCATGTGTGTGTGTTCGGGTCATATGGATGTGTCGGTCAAAAGGCCAGTGTACCTTTTGGAGTCTTTTGGTATTTGTTGAAAGGAGTAGATACGGTTGCTACGGTGACTCTTATGCAGATGTTGTACGAAAAGTATTAAACATGTCCTTTGTCAGCAGGTGTTTATGTAAGTATTGCCGCCCTTATTTTACAGATTTACTTATTTCTGCCGGAAAGGTGTTCACTGTTATGAGTTTTTGTGCCCTAAGGGTTGTCCGTAAATGGAAGTTGTTGAAAGGATACTCTGGGAAATAGGCCAAGGAGTTTGAACGAGATGCGATTTAGGTATAGGAATAACATTTTTGGATCCGATGTCGCTAGTGTATGGCTGAGAGCTCACATATAGTATAATAAAACTAAACCGACGCCCAGGAAAATGCGCATATATTTTTCGATATTGTGTGTGTGTTGGTAATGGAATTATTATCTCCTTCGGGGAGGTACACCCGTATAAATCCCATGACTTATTAGTATTCCACTAAGCCTCTTCGTCCGGGTTGGTTATCAGCTACTCTATACACACCACACACACACGAGGCGATGGCGACGTCGACAGAATAAAAGTTCCCAGTCATCTGCTGTATACTCACAAACATAACACTCACATATTACCTACACATATATCTGTTGAATATGTAAAGTCGGTTTCCCCGAGCCAATTACCGAATGCAAATTTTCTCCCTGTACAACAGCTTATTCCTCAGAGACACCACGCGAAGTCTGCGAATGTATGTGTATGTAACTTCCTCTCTTCCCCTCAACGGGAACATGCTCCATTTTAGAACTCTGTCTGAAAATGCGTTGTTGATATTTTTCCCATTCTAAGTGACGCGTTAACAACTATAACAATGTGTATCTTATCTGAGCTCTGTTTTTCGTTTCAGATGCCACCACACAGGTGTGAGATTATTCGTGGAACGGTGATCATCAAACGTTAGAAGCGCACGCCCATCTACAACCGTACAGGTAAACACTAAAATGTTTAAAAAGTACACAACACTAGCATGTCTAACTTCCTGTTCACGTCGGTCAGTTGGTGACATGTAACTATAAGGCCAATGTTAATTTAACGTCAATTGAAACCAATTGTGCATACAAGTTCAATTACCATGTTAAAAATGCGTTGGTCTATTTCTGGCCTCGACAGCAGCTGTCAATTTCAATGCTTTAACTGAATATAATATAAAATGCCGTTGCGGTTTTTGCGTGCATCAAATATTCCAGGTTTTCTTGAGTAGAGTACTTTTGCCATGATCCTGTGGGGTAAGCTAAAGCAGCGGTATGGTTTTAATATATAATAAGACGGTAGCGAGCTAGTAATAATCTTAGACGCGCGGCGTTTGTTCTTTTCGAGTGGTGAAAAAAACAAAATTCTCAAAAAAGCGCTTGCGATTAAACCACAGGGGTGGCCGAGGGTGAAAGTCGGGGGGAGTGGTAGATCCCTCGTTCCGACAAAATGGCTGGTAATATATTCTTGGGGTAGTTTTTGCTCTCCTGACGTCCCGCCGGCTTACCGGAGATGGTTTGCATTTGGAAAATGCAAATGCAAATGACTCTTCGACATAATTTAGTATTATGTATAGATACATATAAACAACGCAGTGCACTCGACGACGGACCCGCCATCTCATACTTAAGTATGCACTGAGCGCTGATATAATACAGTGTGCGGCAAAGGTATCATTTAACGATAACGGCGCTCGTGTCCCCTATTTCGGCGGGGATTTTTGCATTACCATTAAAACGACGGTTGTCTAAAGGGGAAAGCGAATGTATATATCTAGTGAGTATGCACGGCCGTAATCAGAAAGTGCGTCTAAGTTATTTTTATGGCCGATAATAATCGTCATGCCCGTCGTGTAAGGGTAACGTCACCCGCTAAGAGCATGCAAGCGCATTGTTTCGACGTCGTCGCATTCCAAAAATGTGAGTAACCCAACTGCGTTGAACTTTCACTTCACAATTCTGCTTTATTCCCCTTCCAGCAACGAAACCCACCGGCATAGCGAGTTTAAGCCAGGTCTCACATTATTTTCTAATAGAAATGAAATATAATTTACAAAATCCAATACTCCAATAAATGTGCAATTTACCAAAACACGGTAGTATATGAGAAGTTAATAACAATTAAACATGTCTTGTATGGAGGAATAATTATTAATAAATATTGTCTGACCATTTACCGCGGTGGAAACTATTGCTGACAAAAAAACCACAGCGCTTATTTTGGAAAAGAATTCTGTATTTTCTTGTTTCGTAAACACATTATTTAAAGCTTTTAACCGTTTTAATTATTTATATCTGTGTAACACTCGGATAAAAAAATGATATCGTTTTTTTTGTTGGTAATTTGACCTTTAAATTGGATTTGGTTGGAAAACTCCCCATTTCAACTGACAGTTTTTTAAAAGAAAAACACTTAAAAAATTAGGATTTTGGTGGAACTACTTTATTTAAATACGAAACATTTAAACTTTCATTTATTAAAGCAATTGCTAAAAATCATAGTAAGTATATTATGATTTAGAAATGTTTGGCACAAATTAATATGTTACTTTACAAGTAATATTAATTTAGGTAAACTACAAAAAACAAAATAGTTGTACCTAACGTTTAGAACTTTAAAGTAAACAAAAAAAGTGCCTTGTATATTTTTCTAATTAGTTTTTGTAGCGCTCAGTTTTCATTTACTGTTGTAAAAATTATTCCACATCAGTAAGGGTAACAATTGGCTTCAGTGAATGGAATAAAAATCGTAAATTATATTTATATTTAGTATTATGACAAAATATTATTGTAATTGTTATGGAGGGAAACAGTTTCAGACCATTTTAGGGATCACAAAACGAATAACACCTAAGTGGCTAAAGATTTCTCTCTGTCGCTGTTTCCCTGAGATACACGTTTCCTGTTTTGGGAATTAACTTTTCCCTCCATACAAATTATATACAATAGTAAAAAAGTGGCTACCGGAGTAGATATAAATTTTTGTAGAAACGTTTATGTGAGTTTGCTTCAGTGACGTTTTTATGGTAATCGCTTGAAATATAATATTATATAAACGCGAAGGGAAGTTTTTAACCGTCGTTTTTTTATCTTTTATCTTTACCAAAACGTTTGGACTGGGACCAATTCCAATAAAACACACCGTGTGTTGCTCAACGATCGAGTAATTTGTTTTCAATTGTATTTAAGTAGGTATTATAATTTATAATATATTATTATTAACCTCAATTATATAAACGCACTTATATGGGCGCGGTGTCATCGACTCGGCGCGCAAGAATACAATTAGCTTCTTCTTTTACAAGTCAATTCACTCGGTCGACGGTTGTTGACCGGTATTCATAATGACATGGGATTCGAAATGAGATTTTGATAGCCGAACAAAATGTAATAATAACAAAATTACCGCCCCGTTAAGTAGGAAAAAAAATGGCGTGAAAACGATTCGGCAAGCAAAGACATGGCCGGCGTGCGAGTGTCGTTAAGGCCGACATTCAAAACATGTACTTAAACAGTTTTATGAATACCTAAGGCCAAAGCCTCGAATAATTTACAACATTTGACAATTGTCGCCGCCGCCGCTTTTGCGTTCAATGTATATTGCAGGACTAATCTATGAAAACCGGAATGGGTTACATAGAGATGATGCGCACGCACAGCATCTTATTACACGTGTGTGTATATTATTATTATATACAATGCACGCGTTATAATACCGAATTTGTAATTATTTATAAGTATTTGGGCACCCATACACGTGAACGACCAATAGATATTGCTAGGATTTAGAGATGACATTCGACAGTAGCGTTCATTTTTGTTTTTTTTTTACTGTAAGAGAGTCGAACGTATCCGGCTAAACGAGTTATGCATTCTATAAAAGATAATAATACTATTATATTGTATAACCCCCACCGTACTCGGTCATCGCTGCGTTATTCACCCGGAACGTGTTTATTCGTTAATATACACAATGTGGGGTGTAGTGCGCAATGAAGATAAAAAAAAAATAATAAACTCTTACTGAAGATACATATCATTAAGGCATTAACATACATTGATATGTTGATACTTGATAGTATCAACGTTGTGTTGCAATTAATGCAGTACTTTTAAGTTATAACCATGATAGGCGTGGTCATACTTTTAAGACAAGTATACAGTGCTAGTCCAAAAACTACATTGGTTAAAAAGTGTAATTAGTACATTTGTACAAACAAAATTAAAACTTATTATGTAATCTAATATATTATTGAATTTTAAGTCGTTAATACCTCGTGTTCATTTGAATTGTGAATTTAAAATTACCTTATGTATTTGTATATTGAGTAGTATATGCTGCCCACCACGTGGTGGGCAGCTCGCTTTGAATAAAAGTTGTTTTTCTCAAATAAAAATAAACATGAATACTCTTATTGCGAAAACCATCTAATATGTAGTGAATGTAAAATTTGTATAAATTTATAAATAACAAGGCCATACATAAAAAACATAAACAAAAAACAAGAGATTTAATGTTTAAAAAATATTATTTACAAAATGTTGTTTTTGTATTGTGAACATACTATTTTCTATACATTTTAATAATATTTAAACATCATTGTGTTTGGTATTATGTATTAAAACACACTATTTTGATTATTTTAGCAAACCTTAGCAATTCTTAGCTAGACCACCACGTAATGGCACGGAAAGTTAGCATGTTTTAATCATGTTTTTTACTGTACAAAATTTAAAAAAACATATCTGAAAATTAACCATGTGAAAATAAAATCTAATAAATAAATAAAATGTATTCGATATTGACAAATTTCATTAACTGACTGTTTTAAATACAAGTATAACTGGTGGCTACATTTCTGAGTAAAATGTTCAATAAAATATCCATAAAATCTTTGCATAAATCTGACCGCACCGGTGAATGAGTTGTAATGTATAAATTATAAAGAGGAATGTTTGAAATTTTGGTCCGTGTGAACAATTTTTTTTTTGAAAGATGAAAATAAAATGGGGTGTAAAATCAGCGGAAAATACTACTTTAATTAAACGCTGGTAAGACCGATTTGATGAAAAAAAAAAATACAGAAAACCTATCAAAAAAATCTTATATAATAATGCACTACGGCCGTTATAGGTATTATATTATATCTCATTTATGCGCGGCTCTCTTTCTCTCAATATGTATATAATTATCCTTTCATATTTTGTAATGTAACAGGACCTTGATCCGTTCCTGCCGTAAGACAAAATATAAGTCGGGGGGAGGGGGTTTATAGTTTTTTCACGTACAAGAGAATTGTCGAATGATATACCTAATGCAATAACAAACGTTTTCATTAATTTGGCAAAATGGAGTATATTATTCGGTTAAAAACAAATTGCCGTTGAAAAGGAAAAATAACAATATAGGTGTAACCGAACGTGAAATGAATCTTGGACCTCGTTTGGTGATTTTTCGCACGACTGCATCGGCATAGCAGCAGATTTCCACTTATATTATCCGTTCCGGTAGATTAGCTGACTTAAGTAAGTACAGGACGGCGGTCGCTCGTATTCTTAAAGTTTACCAAATGGTACGCGGTATATGTGTCTAGCGGGGCTTACATAAAAACAAAATATCATATCAACGTTCCAGTTGAAAACAACTGTTGGAAATCGCCAAAAAAAAAAAATGACCCTCTTATAATTATTTTCCGTACAATTGTTATATTTTAGTAGTTGTACTTTACGTTTACGGTTTAAAACCTATAGCCAAACGTTTTACAGTTTTGCAATAGTCTTATAATATGAGAAAACACTAGGTTCGGTTAGAAAAAGGTGTTGTCCGTTGATGCTTTGCGACCACGATGGCTGGGACGCTTCGACCAATTTCACTAAAGGTAATCCTCCACCCTTCTAAAAACCATATTATTATACAGTGTGAGCTCTTACAAACGCGCGCGCACACACACATGAGTCCG